TAACAAAGATTGCAACAGCATGTTGAACTAAATTGATACAATTAACTTTTCATACCTGGATGTCCTTTAACTCAGTAGACGACTTACAAATTTCCAGTGAGGTGACAAACAAACTCGAGTGTCCATCAGCGGGCTTGACTACTTGAGGTAGCGATAATCGAAGACTCAGCTTATAGTTGTGACTGTTAAAGCGACGACTGCAACAACGGTTGACTCAAGGATGACAGTAGTTACGCACTAAAATTTACAAGTCGAGTGCAAATTAGTTAACAATAATAGTAGAGTAAAAGAGGCACAGTCTTCGCTAGTGAGTTTATGTCTGCAAGCTCGATACAAAACAGTACGCGAAAGATCACAAGTGGAACTATTCTTATAATAAAGGGGACGAATACTATCAACTAGAGCAGCAAACGCAAGAGAGAGGTAATGAGCTTAAACTAACCTCTATGATCGTTTGCTTTAATCAAAACAATTCGTGCGTGCGCATTCGTTATGCAAAAGAAAGAAGGTAACCAAGACAAATACGTATACCTTTACGTTTTCCTAACACGACAAGATAGCCAGGCAATCGACAATGAAATCAAACACAAGGTACAGCACACACTACTATATTTGAGTGGGAGAAAGAGAGAGACCAGTTGCCGAGACGTCAAATTAGGCTAGGGTACTTGCCTCGGAACTAACCCAAAATGGTCGTTGCGCAACGAAAACCACTGACAAATGTTGAAACAACTCGTTCAACCAAGGCAACCTTCCCTCTTCCATCATCACGAATTCAGCTGGAAAGACTATAATGGTAAGGTAAAAGTACCCCCTTGAAACGCTATTCGGCATATACTTTAGATATCATTACATAAGAAAAATATTTTGATTTTTTGCTTTGTAGAAAAAACATCTTATATGGAAAAATTGCAATCAACTGGATTTGTAACCAATTCAGAAACACTAAGAGATTGACTATTTTCATTAATACATGTTGGTGCATTTTGGTCACGAACATTATCCGAATTGTTATTAACTAGAACAGGAGTTGCAGAATTGTTATTAGAAAGAACTATTTGATTTTGTGGAAGAGTACTTGTTAACTCCTCGTATAAGTCTTGACTTATGTTGACTATGATTTCAGAATTTAAATTACTACAACCAACTTCAAGAAGTTCGTCGACTTCAGGATTCACGACATTAATTATAAATTCATTTGTAGTAGTCAAACCATTAATCTTATTTACTATTCCATCGTTCATCGATTCGTCGATTGCAAGTTCATTATCATTAATCTTATTTTTAGTGCTGTTACCTGTTGATTTCATAATATATGTAAAAAACAATGTATTTGACAATGATAGTAAAAAATAATAATAACGTATAAAATAAAATTAAAGGTAAAAATAAAATTAAGTAAAAATAAAAATCACATGTAAAATAAAATTAAAATTTAAAGTATAAATAAAATTCAGTAAAAATAAAAATAAAATTAAAAGTACAAATCAGTTTAAAAAATCTAGATAATGATAATTGGATTTTCGAATACAAATAATTTTTAGAATTAAAAAAAAATGATTACTTATTGTAAAACTTATAATTATAGAAGTAAATTCATAAATTACTTTTCATCCGGAGCCAATGATTAAACAAGCCTAAATTTTCAATGGTATTGATCCAAATTCCAGAAGTTTCAGCATCCTTAAATTGCGAGAGTACATCTGCAGGTAAAGCCTCTTCAAATACTTTAATTAAATCAAACTTATTTTTGAGCTTAATTTGATCTTCCAAATTATCTTTTTGTTGCTCATTTGCAACTGGAGTATTTTTTTTCAGGCTTTTTCTAAAATACGTCGTTGTCGACACTGTCTGGATTAAAGGGCATTAAACCACTGGCCCTAAATCCACTTGTAATACATTTCTCTTCTTCTTTAAACATTAACAAAGCTTCTTTCAAAACTAGGCCAAAGTCTTCTTGTTTCAATTTTTTCAATTGATTATTTCCTTTCCAAATACTGACCGCTTTCCTCCAAATGTCTTTGAAAGGATGAAAGAATGCGATGTCGAGAGGCTGGATAACATGCGTCGAATTTGGAAACAATACAATCAATTCAATGAAATTCTCACGACAAAACCTGACTAAAGGAATATTAATGTGAGAGGAATGCCCGTCGAAATACAGCATAACTGGAAATTGAATTCCCCTTGTCACAAGCCAGGGATGAAAAACATTGGTCACATATTCGTAAAATATTTCAGCGGTCATCCAACCATTCTCAGACACTCCAATAGAAAAATCTGAGGGGAAACTTTGAACTATTTTTTTAGGCACATTTTCTTTGAATTTAAACATTACCATAGGAGAAACTCTGCTACCATCTGCACCGTATATAAATAATGCTGTTAAGCTTTCTTTTTCACTTGCATTAACAACTTTGTAAACCGATCGAGATCCTTTCTTTACAATCACTTTATCTGGCTTTGGCAGAATCTGAACATTTGTTTCGTCGCAATTAAATACCGTGGAAAGATCAACATTAAGTAAGTCTTTGCTTTTTAAGAATTGTTTAACGTCGGTAAACCAATTTTTTAAATCAGCTTGCGTGACGGATACTCGAGTCAAAGTTAAATGTTGCGCTGTTCTTATTGACAATTCGGGATGACGATTTTGAAATTTTCCGTACCAGTGACGACCTGGTCTTCCATTAGTAAATGGGGTTTTTCTTTTGGATTTTAATACGAATGTTTGAACACTGTCAAGCAGCTCTAACTTCGTAACTGGATATCCATTTCGTGCTCTGCACAGTATCCAATTTACAACATCTTGCTCTTCCTCAACTGTCAATACTTTTTCTTTTTCCAAGGCACTCGGTTTTTTTAAGGCTCGATGAATACTACTGACTGGTATTTTATGTGCACTATGTGCTTGCCTAAACGACGATCCATTTTTTACATCTGTAACAGCTGCTTTAAGGTCTTCAATGCTGTAATTATGTCTAGTTCTTTTTATTTGTTTCTTTTTTCTAACTTTCTTCTTACTTGGTCTTTTCCTACTTTTCTTTTCATTGGCCGTTAACTTTTCACTTTTCTTTTCGTTCTTTTTTGCCATTTTTCTTTCAACTGTGGACCTATATAAGTATAAATAAATAAATACTTCACTGTTTTTTATATTATGACTTGCATGCATAAAATGTATGTATAGGTTAAGTTTTGTTTTTACATGAAAAACAAACCGATCAACGGATACTTACACTTACTTATTTGTGATAAATAGATGACAAATAATTTATTTGACCCTGTACGTCCTTACTTATTTGTAAAACTACACATAGATTGTTAATGCAGTATAATTATTTACGTCTCAATGCGTGTGTGGACAGGTGTGTACATAAGAGGGACAAACACTAAATATAGGGCCCTCGGTTTGAAACGATTCATCAGCAGCGTTCAAAGAGGGGGACACTTACAAAATCTTGTGTACCCCTACTTGAACAGCTGTTTAAATAATGAAATCAGCAAATTATCAAATTTAAATGGTACAAACCATTAGTATGTCTTATAAACTTTAATATATATACATGTTTTTACTAGAAAACTAAAAAAAAAATGTATATACGACAGGAATATCGATTGTGAAAATAGACTTCCCTTTCGTGAAATAATAGTATATTTCAGAATGTTTGCATAGCGATGTATTAAAATTTTTTTTTTTCAATCAATTAAGTTGTTAAAATAATGGTAAAATAAGTTTTTCACCCAACTATATCTGACAATTGAGTGTAATTCTTTTTTATTCGTCTACGTCAGCAGGATAATTTGAAAATCTTAATATTTTATAACTATTCAATATCAGGGTCACATTTTGCCTAAGCGTTCCAAGGGGGTACTTTTACCTTAATGATTAACCCTTTTGACACACAAAAAATGGACTGTATTATTTTTAAGTAGCCGTATAAGCAGTGAAGGAAGAGAGGAAAGGAAAATGATGAGACACAGTTCTCGATGAATTTGTCTCTAATTTGGGCTAAATAACTAGAAAGCACTTCAGTTCACTATATTAAGAAAACAATGATGTATTTAATCTTAAAGTACGAAATTCTTGAGTTTTGAACAAAAATAATGCGCAAAGAAATCTAGTACAAAATTTTAGTTTAATTATAGTTTGACTTAATTTATTATTAAGTTACTTAAAACAATGCAGTGAGCTAGACAAGCAGACGTGAACGGGCGCTCGGAGCTCCAGAGTCCCAAAATCTTACGTGTGCGCATACACATACAGGCACATACATATCGTCTACTCCCTCTCACTCGCGAGCAGTAGTCAGTGGACTACCTTACATAAGATTGCGATCGGGAATGTTCTCGAATATTCTACATTAATGTTTAGAGGAGTGATTTTTAAGGTAATGGGGTGGTATCGTTAGATATAATTAATCATAATGTGACTCACTTTATTTTATTCTACCAGTAAAATTTTTTTATCCGATATCCATGTAAAAAGGGGTTTCAAGGATACATGTAATACAATGTTATATTGTGTTGACAACTATATCAAATCTACCATACTATAATTATTTATTGATAATATGTTATTGCATTACAATATTGCATGAATTGAATCACAGTATTATTTTTAAAAAATAAATCACTTGATGTGTCTAGAAGATATAAGAGATTAAATTAAATAAGAATTTGTAAAATATTTCTTCAAGTACTTTAACGTACTACTACAATTACTGTAGGAATATTTTAATCTCTCTAAATTTTTATTGTAAGCTACCATTTCCTTTATTCAAACAATAATAAAATCTGAGATTTTCTTATTTTTTTTTAGAAAAATATGAATTGTCTATAATTTTTCTATGCAATGATTATAAAAAATTTCACCTGGCAATACGTAGTAACTGTCATATAGTTATAATTTATTAATAAACACTTAAGTAACAAACTTATAAATGTCAGTAGATAATTTCTCTTTATATATGATTGTACATGTGTATCTATACTTTATGTTTAAGGAACGTTTGAAAATCCCAACAGACCCAAAAGATTGGTCTCAAATGCATGTTAAGCACTGGCTCCAGTGGGCTGTTAGACAGTTTAATCTTGTGTCTTTAAAATTAGCTGACTGGAACATTACTGGAATTCAACTATGTGATTTAAGTATTAAAGAGTTTCAAGCGAAAGTACCTCTCGATCCGGGAGATATTTTTTGGACGCATC